GTAAATTTAGTTTTATTCAAAATATAAAATATCTTTACACTTTTGAAAATGACATTTATAGTTCATAAAAGATGGCTTGATCTCTGCGACAGCTGTCAGTAAGATTCACGCCTATGAAGTCCTGAATTTCATAGTAGTACAGACAGTACCTATCAATGTCATACTTTATTAGTGGCTTTAATATGTGTTTAATTAGTGCATGCCCATAAAGTATGACATTGACAGGTACTGTCTGTACTACTAAGAAATTCAGGACTTCATAGGCGTGATTTTTACTGACAGCTGTCGCAGAGATCAAGCTATCTTTTATGAACTATAGTTAGTCATAATGTAAATTAATTTCAAATCTCCCCTTCTGTCTATTTATGAATTCTTTGATCTACAGGATAGAAAGATGGACATATAAGATGAAAACCAAAATTATCGTAAATAGTATACGGGAGACACATCGTAGATGTAGAAAGATATAGTGTCAATCAAAGGAAAATGTATACCTATTGTTAATAATATATATTATGGCGATAAAATCAAATAAAACGTTTTATTTCAAAATGTATTCAATCGCGAGAATAATAAAATAATAGCGAGGAAAAGAGGAAGTTAGCTTACTGCGGAGGGGAATTGGAAAACAAATGTTGGCAGCACTAATACCTGGTACTGGTATTAGTGCTTTCGGGTGTATGCTTTCTTTGTATTATACAGTACGTTTGGTTTCGGACAATACAAACTTAAAGAGATAGTTTGTTATATTCTATCAATAAAATTATTCTACATCTGGGGTCGTAACCCCCTCCCCCTGAATGGTAGCCATTTTCGTTTTTGATCGCCTTTTATGAAGCGTGCGTACCATTGCCTAGTGGTCGTCACAACTATCCGCTCAAGGGCCACACAGGACAATGTGAGGTGTCACAGCGGGCCGCACATTCTTGGATTGTTTAGTTGACACCATCAATCAATTGACATAGTGAGCTGTCAACCCGATTGCCCCCTAGAAATCTTAATTTGCCAGCTCAAGAACTAATTAGCATACAATGAACAGACAAAAAGAACACACGAAACAAATATTAGTAGATCACACAAATGGTTTTCTACAAGAATAAAACAGCTCTTAGTATTTATCACATCATTTAATCTTTTTTGAATTTCTGACAAATATTCCATTAAGTAGGAAACTATATCTTGATCAGTACTATCGGAAATAGACACCTCTGATTCCACAGCTGCAAGGGTTGGGAAACTAGAAAAGTCTCCAGCTTGGACCTTATTTATACCTTATACCTATATATACCTTATTTATACGTGTATATAATTGAAGTTTAAATTCAAATGCAAATATTTTATTCGTAATTTGTCCTATTATCTTGTTATTAAGATTATTAAGCTTGCTGGTAATAACAGTAAAAAAATGCCGTCAGTGCCCACCATTCATCGTTGAGAAGTCGATGTTCTTTACCACTTTTTTGTTATAATATAATTATTTAGGATTCCCACCAGTCCCCTTAAAATTCTCATGCAGTTGCATGCGCCCGGCAAATCCCGAGCAGTCGCATGCGGCGGCACCCACCCACAGCACTATGTAAACCTACTATGTAAAACCTTTAAAACTTATATTTGGAGACTGCTTTTCTATGAAGAATTTGGCATTATAAAATCTATACAAAAATCTCTATATAAAAGTCAGGTTATTCATTACAAAAGACTATTGTATTTTGATAACAAAAACGAAACATACCAAGCGAATGTCGGCAGTGTAAAAATCACAATTATTTCAATATACATTACTCGAAATTATTTACGTAAAAAGATAAATATCCATAGCATAACTATTTTTATTGCACTAGAGGATAGAAAATTTTATATTGATTCTGTAATGCCAAACTTCTTCATAGAAAAGTAGTCTCTAAATATAATGGTTTAAGGTGCTGTGGATGTGCGCGGTCAAATTCGACCGCTTGAATTTTGACGGAATAGCGCCGCGGTCGAATTCGACCGCTTAGGAGTTGAAGGGTTAAATGAAAGAATCATTCTATATAGAACTTTTCCTTTGCTCAACCATCTGACGACATTGTGTACGACTACATTATCATAATTAGCTTGTAATTCCTCAAGTTCCTTTAAATTTTCGATATTTTAGTTCACGCGCGCGAATCATATTGGTTATGTTTATGAGAATGTAATGAATACTCATTACATCCTTTAATTTATTATTCGAAATTTGACAAACCAACGTTTCTTGATGCAGCAAGCAGTGAATTGGGGCAGCAAATTAGGTAGATTAAATTCTCTCTTCATTAAGGCAATAAGACCATTATTGCAACCAAAATTGATGGACAACCATCAGTACACACTGATATCAATTTACTCATAGGTATACCTTCTCGAAAAGTACGGTATACCGTACTTTTCGAGAAGTTCTTTCAGAGCTTCTATAAAATCACAACCTCTCGTATCATGGTTATGACGGCTAAGAAGTCCTCTTCTATGAATCCGTCCATAGTGAAGTACCACACAAAAAGTGAGCACTGAGACATATAAGATATATCGGTACTAGAATCACACGTAAGACTAAAGTATTTGCAGTTTTTCAACCTCTCAATTACTGCCTTAAACATGTTTTTTGACAAATATTCCACTCGGCGTCGCCAGGTTCATTCAGAAACCGTAAGCTTTTTTGCTTTCGCCATTATTTGGTTATTATTTTAAAATGTTTGAAAACAAAATCTGAGAAACAGTTAACATGCGCTCCTTTATTAATTCAGCATCAGTGAAATTCATCCTTTTTGCAAGCATGTAACAAACTTGGTAAGATGCTTTTGTAACGGCCTCGTTTTGTCTAACTGCTGTCGTCGTAATGTTTTGTTGTCGACGAATTGCAGATTTCAAAGCAGCAACTTTATTCTCCCTTTCATTCGATTCCAAAGGAAGTGTGATAATTGCAATTAAATACTTTTTCTTTGTTAATTATTTTAATCAATATAATCAAGACAACAGGTTAAAAACAGTTACCAATTATAATATTTTCTTCATGTCTTTTAAAATATCTTTTTGCTACTCTTTCATTTTTTAAAACATCATGGATCAAAGTCAGAATAAAAAAGTATATATATATATATATATATATATATATATATATATATATATATATATATATATATATATATATATATATATATATATTATGTATAACCATAGGCAATAGCTGCCAGTATTTTTCTCTGACTAATAACCTTCTTGAATCTACAACATCCTCCCCACACAGAAAAATATGAAAGTAGAGACGATATAATATAATTTAAAATACTTAAACATAACATGTAATCGAATTAAGTTAATTTTAAGTGTATTCACACATTCATTACAAATATAGATGACTTCAACCCTATTTTAATTAATTTTTAATGTTAATTAGAGAGCAGTATTTTAATAAACATTCCTAACTAATTGACTAAATGCATTTCGTCATCTTAGTCTAAGAATCTTGTCGGAATATTAATTAGTCTACCATGTCAGTACAATAGAAGATGTTGAGGTAAATCAGATGATATTATGTCCGAATTCAAAGTCGTCTGGGGACTATAATCCTTAATGTTAGGGTTAGTCACTGTCTTACTTCTATTATTAGATGGGCTGGCCCTGTGCCATTCGTTTGTAACTGTTGTTAGTTCCAGTGGATAAAGACTTTGTACAGCTCTTACCGATTCACCGGTAGCTGTCTGTACTTTTGCAACCCTACAATTACCATCAGCACCTATAATTAACTCCTTTTTAATACATAACGGCCAATATAACCGACTAGTGTCAGTTTCAATAAGAACAATATCGTTTAATTTCGGCAAATTTTGTTTACACCTATCTTTACTACAAATTAAAGCAATATATTCGTTTCTAAAACATTGTCGGAAATCTGCACGTAATTTGTTTAAATATTGTAAACGAATATTTATATTTTTTGCATCAATCAGATCTAAATCAGGCATCTCACTATTATCTAAGGGATGTAAAAACATCATTGGAGTAAGTGGTTTAAGAGAGTCATCAGCTGTTGCTACGTATGTCAATGGTTGGCTGTTAATGATTGCTTCGCAGTCACAAAGTATTGTTGATAATTCAATCCAAGTTAAAGATTGTTTTCCTAAGATTCTTCTTAACATTTCCTGGTAGAAGTATTAGCCTCACAAAATCCTTGTCTTCTTTACTCAACTCTAAATGTGTTTTTACTCTTATCACCCCATCGGTATCTATTTCTGTATTTATATTATGCAACGAAAACCCTTCTGTAAAATTCTCTTTCTGTAATAATTTAATTGGTGTCTTTTCTGCATTGATATATTTGTTATGTCTGGCTCCTTTATGTCAAACTTTATTTTTATTTTACAATTCATACGTAATATCCATGCCACAAGTCTAACTATGCGGTTATATTTTGAAAAATATGTCAATTTTTTACTGAATGTTTCTATTGTGACATTTGTATTAATCTTGGCGTTTTTGGTTACTTCTGCTTCTACAATCTCTTCATTGATATTAATAATGTTTGATTTTAGTCAATCCGTCTTATTACGCTTCAACCATGCCGGGCCTTCCCACCATCTACTTTCCATAAACTTCTTTGCGTCACAACCTCTTGATGGAAGATCTGATGGATTGTACTTACCCGGTAGATGGTACCAATCGTCACAATTGGTTGTTGAGCATATTTCTTTCACTCTATTGGAAACAAATGGTTTCCAATGTGCTTGTCTTTTTAGCCATGATAGCACCACAGCAGAGTCAGTCCAGAAATAAACCTTGTATTCCTTACATTTTATTAGCAATCTTGACTCTAAAACCTCTTTGTATAGCCGAGATGCAATGAGCGCCCCCATAAGTTCTAGTCTTGGTAAAGACATTTTTCTTTTAGCTGGGGTTACCCGATTTTTCGCTAAAACTAGTTGGACTTTTACCTGTTCGTTTATTTTGTTCTTAAAAACAAACATGCAGCAAAATATGTTAGGCTGGCATCACAAAATATATGAAGACTGACATTTTTCTAAAGGTGCGATTGAGATATGTCTAGGGAACAGACATTGATTGATGAAATGTGCTTTACTTAACCAGTTGTTGAACTCTTGGGCTAACTCTTCGGGTATTTCATGATCCCAATCTATGTTATGTTCCCAAATTTTCTGCATAATAAGTTTGGGTATTAAAGTTGCTGGGCAAACAAGTCCCATTGGATCAAATATATGTTGTGCCACAGCAATCACATATCTTTTCGTTATTTTCTCCGATCTTGCTTCACTTATGTTGACATTACATCTTAAATTATCTAAAACTGTATTCCATGTCATCCTAAGCACAGGAACTTCAACAATGCTATCTATTCTGTGAGGTGCTGTTACCCATCCACGCAGATCAAACATACCTTTTGCCATTATTTCCTTAGATTCAGATATAAATATCTTCATTTCATCTACATAATCAAAACTTGCAACACAATTGTCTACATAAAAAGATTTTTCAATTTGTTGACAGTTTTCCTGTACTTTTTTGAATAGTTACTCAAATGATACATTATTGTGGCACTCAACAAAAATGGACTACACGTAATTCCAAAAACTACTATATGCAACTATTTCATTACAAGTTTCTATATTTTGCCCACCAGAGAAATTTCAAGTAATCTCGATCTTTTTCTGCAATGGATATCTGTAAAAATGCTTGTTTTATATCAGATAGAACTCCATAAGCACCTTTTCTAAATTGTATTAATAATTTTGGTAACAATTCAATCATATTAATACCTTTATCAAAATAACCGTTAAGAGTCCATCCATTGTTGTCTTTTGTAACCAGTATTTGATGCATCAAATACTGGAGGTGCACGTGTTGTCATACTAGATAATTTAATAACACTATGATGTGGCAAATAGTGGCCTGTATTTGTATCATTTATAACCCTCTCAATGATATCCCTTTTCTTCCAGTCTTGCAGAACATGATCATACATTTTTAGGTCACCAGTTGACTTTAACTTTTTTGTGGTTGACTTCAATCGTTTAAATGCAACTTCATATTTCATTTCATTTGTCTTGAGTCCTGCACACCCCTCTTTCCATAACAATGAGACTTCATAGCGTCCTTGTGCATTTACTGAAATGTTATCATTGAAAGTTTTCAAAACCTCGACTTCAGTATCCTTTTTAGACTTATTTTCATAAGGGTCTCGAATTCCCAATAACTCAATACTCCACAAATCAGAAAGATTTGTTTTTGAAAAGCATGTAGTACTTGATGTATTGACTGTACTTTGAACTTTTATTGGTCCCTGTAATGTCCATCCTAACTTGGTATTAACAGCCATCAGGTTGTTCCCTAAACTAACCATTTCATTATGTATAATGGATCCTAAGTAATCCGACCCAATCAAGAGACTTATCTCAGTATCTGTATAATCAAAATCACTGATCACAATATTCAAGTCCCGTAACTTCTCTAATATTTTTTCATTATTAACTTTTGGCAGGTGCCCACATAAATCAGACTGCTGTAATGCATTGATTCTAACAGAAAACCTATTGTCTAAGCTACTTACTAAAACATGAAAGCATTTATATACCTTAGCAAGCTGATCCATACCTCCAAATAATGTGTGACCTATTATTTCTGTGCCAGTCTCATTCAATCCTAATTCTTCAACAACTTTGGCTTTTACATACGACCTTTGCGAACCACTGTCTAACAAAACTCTCACCTTCTTGATTTTTCTTTGATAGGTGATATTGACAATAAGTGTTCGTAACAAAGTTGTCATATTAGTTCTGGCATATAAGAAACATTTTTCAATGTTTCATTCTTTTCTTTCTTATGAATTTCTGGACATAAAATAACAAAGTGTCTTTTTTCACATGATAAACATCTAACAAAACTTTTACATTTATTAGCAATGTGACCTTTTTTTAAGACATATGTAGCGGCAACCTTTCTTTTTTATTGTCTCCTTTTTATCCTCTAGGGACATCTTATTAGATCTACTACATTCAAAAGAAGTATGACTGCTTTTGTCACAAAAACAGCAAATAACATTGAATACTTTATCCGACTCCTTTGGTTTTATATTTGACACTAACGATGCTGCAGTTGGTAAGCTGCTTTTTTGTTCCCCGTAAAGAGTGTGAATAGTACCAATACAATTAAAATCGGACCTTGCTAAATTAACTCGCTCTTCTATTTCTACTTCGTTTTTAAGAAAATTTCATAAACTTGTCAATTGGTTATTCATACCCTCCTATCGACACATCGGGGTGGTGGGGTGGGAGGGGAAAGAAGATGATTCTAGAATGTCACGTAATCATCGGAACCGAGGATATATAAGACACGCGCGACCGACGCGCAGCCTCTTCCCGCCGCGCTCGTCGTTGAAACCACATCGCTAGTAGAAACCGCTTTAGCCTGGAAGCAGTCGAGCTCCAGGATGCCCGCCTCACCTCGTGTGAGATATAGTCGCGCACCGCCTCTCTCCGGAGTGTTCCAGAAGTCGCAGTTATAGTGCTCGACCGCATAGAAGAAACATCCCGGTGAGTCAATATCCAATATTATAACGTGCTTGATATAATTGCTTTAACCCGCTCCAATTTTGTGTTTTCCTAATCAAGCAGGATTCCTTTCATCGATTTGGCAAATAATAGTTCGTTTTTAGGTAAGAGCGAGTGCATTGTACCGCATATATAAGTGTAGAAGCATTAGTAGATACAGTCCACTTAGATTAATATCTCGCGTAACAGGTTTAAGGTTCGACCGGGGAACTAGACTTCGGCAGCCTTAGACACGTGGCTCCACCATTTTATGGTCACTTCGGCAGGATTTGCACTGGTGTTTAGGGGTCATCCAACCATTTTCTGGTCGAATTATTAGATTAATTATTTAGATAATGCACTCTAGTTTATGGAATAGTCTTAAATAGTGTTCGTTTGAATTTAAATTTTGGTTAGGTACTCGCAAACAGAATTATTCATTTAAATAGTGTTTGTAATTGGTTTAAATTTAAAGCTTATTAGTCGCTTAAAATTGAAACAGTGTGATAGCAACCGTTTGGTACGCTTACCCGACAATCTTGATAAAAAACATTGAGTTAGCAAGCAACGCGTCGCCTTGACTGTAACAGGTGTTCGATTTAATTACGTAATACGGCATACCGAGTGTCCATCGTCCATCGTTTATGCGTGTGAGGTTAATTGTGATTAATATAACTTCACTATAATAATTTAAAATGGCAGTTAGTGGAAGTGAATTTAAAATTAAAACGCTTTATGCCAAGAGGGACGTACTTTTTTCACGTATACAAAACATTAGCGATCATATAAAGAACATTAATGTAGAAGCGGTACGGGAAACTTTTCTGAATGAAATTGAAACGGTGGATTCTTTGCGGACGGATTACGAAAGAATATTAGACCAAATTAATCATTTGGAACTACAAATCGACCCGAAATACGTAGTGAACTACCAACCGCTGCTGGCATTCGAAGATATGTTGTGTCGCGTGAAAAGAACGGCAAAACTCCTACAATCTCAAAGCGAAGCAAAGCCGGAATTACAGGTACGTCCTCGTGACTCAATTAGGTTGCCGCCAATAGATATTCCGGTATTCAATGGTGATATTAAGACGTGGCCCTTCTTCTTCAGTAGTTTTCAAAACAATATACCCATCGTTATCGGACGCTGAAAAATTATATTACTTAATTAGTAAACTTAGTGGCAGGGCACAGTCGATCTGCTCGGGTTTTACACCTACAGCAAACAATTACTTATTAATATTTGAAACGCTTAAAACTAAATACGAAGATAGGAGAATGTTAGCTTCCGAATATTTGAACCAGATATTCGATCTTAAACCTATATCATCCGCGAACATCAACGGCTTAGAGCAGTTTCTAGATAAAAATGTGGCATCGGTGGCTGCACTTAAGAATTTAAATTTTAATGACCTTATGGACGTGGTGTTTCTCCATATTGCACTAAAGAAATTAGACCCCGAAACCGTGCGTGCGTTTGAAATGGAGCATCGTAGCTCGGAGATGCCTTCCTTTCATTCATTAGCATCGTTCGTGCGAGATCAAATAATTTTGATAGGTGATATTGACAATAAGTGTTCGTAACAAAGTTGTCATATTAGTTCTGGCATATAAGAAACATTTTTCAATGTTTCATTCTTTTCTTTCTTATGAATTTCTGGACATAAAATAACAAAATGTCTTTTTTCACATGATAAACATCTAACAAAACTTTTACATTTATTAGCAATGTGACCTTTTTTAAGACATATGTAGCAGCAACCTTTCTTTTTTATTGTCTCCTTTTTATCCTCTAGGGACATCTTATTAGATCTACTACATTCAAAAGAAGTATGACTGCTTTTGTCACAAAAACAGCAAATAACATTGAATACTTTATCCGACTCCTTTGGTTTTATATTTGACACTAACGATGCTGCAGTTGGTAAGCTGCTTTTTTGTTCCCCGTAAAGAGTGTGAATAGTACCAATACAATTAAAATCGGACCTTGCTAAATTAACTCGCTCTTCTATTTCTACTTCGTTTTTAAGAAAATTTCATAAACTTGTCAATTGGTTACCAAGAGGTGGATCAGTTTTACACCTATTTCTACAAGGGGATACAAAATAATTACATATTTCTGTTTATCAATACCTAACGTTTCTAAAGACATCAAATATGTTGAAATTTTGTCATATAATAGTCTAATAGATACTTGTTTTTTATTATTGTTTAAAACTAAACTTAATAATTCTCTAACATAAACCTGTATGAGAAGATCCTCCAGTCCAAATCTTGCCTTAAATTGTAGCCTTTGTATAATTTTCAGCAGACGGAGGGAAACTTTCCTCCAATACTCGAGCGTTACTATCTTCTTCAATGATTGAATTGAATTGAATTTTTCTTTTAAAACATCTTTTTGCTACTTTTTCATTTTTTAAAACATCATGGATCAGAGTCAGAATAAAAAAGTAATATATATATATATATATATATATATATATATATATATATATATATATATATATATTATGTATAACCATAGGCAATAGCTGCCAGTATTTTTCTCTGACTAATAACCTTCTTGAATTTACAACAGGAAGGACTTCAGTAAATGAATTGTGTTTACTTGTATAGTAGCGAAATAAATTGTATATTCCGATAACACTTTCTCGGCATATTAAACAAATTGCAGTACACGGATGGTATTTCAATTGTCCACTTATAAAACAAAATTTTTCCTCCAGTTTTCCTTTGAAAAACATTTTTTTGTCACTGAACTTCCTTTTAGAAGCACTTTTTATTAATACTCCCACCATTATAATTTTATTAAATAAGAACACTTCGCGCGTAATTTATTGTCGAGTGTCCTACGCACACCTACGCACTATGTTAAAACAAATGAATGAAATTGAAAATGCCTTTGCCGTCACTTCCCCTTCCTGCAACCCGCTCAGTCGGAGCAAGTTGCAGAAGGAAGTTTATACCTACCCGCGTACTTCCATTTAGTTTACTTGATGTGTTTAGTATATGATATTTTCATATCATTTCCTAAATTTGTTTGCTTCGTCGCGGGCCCCACAAATATAGTCCGCGAGCCGCAGTATGACGACCACGGCCATAGCCTCTAGCGTCCTATAGCGTCCTTCATGTGATAGATTAGAAAATTTTAAATTTAGCGCCATTGCAGTAGATTCTTTTATACATTTCAATTTTTTTGACAATTATGATGATGTAACAAACATAGTAACGAAACGCAGAAAAAATATGATACGTTAAATGTCAATGTTATATTTTCTCCACAGAGTACTTTTATTATATACATTTTCTCAAAATGGCATCAGGAGGTCGAGATGCGCGCACGCTGGCCGCAAGAAGGGAGTAAATCCGATATAAACTTTGGATTTCTCTGCTTTGTGTAGTTTTTTTCGTACAAATTATCAGAAGTAATGTTGTTTCATAGAATGGAAATAATATTTCAGTGAATCAAACTTTTTCGAAAGGAACTCAGAGGTTATTTATTTGTATGTCCTTTATGCAGTATGTTGGATTTATCTTAAGTTGAATAACTGTTAGCTGCTGATGTCCTATATATAATACATTTTTTTTTCAGGCTTAGGCGATCATGATATTATACAGTTGTTGGACAAATCCGATATAGAATACTTTTCTTCAGATTCTGGCGATGATCAGGATTACGAACCACCTACTTCTGGTCGCCGTTCGCAAATTTCATCAAGCTCATCTGACGACGAAACTGTTGTTGCTGCGCCGTCTCCAGCTTCGGTTTAAAGATCTTTATTTCTCAATAAGACAATAGTCACTTACATGAGAACAATAACTATATGAACTTAGTAATAACAATTTTTAGTGCGGGCGGGTATAAATAACTTTGTTAGATGTCGCTTTTAAGAAGCGAATGTCTTTGTTGTTTATTCAAACTATAAGGTGGTGGTCCAAGTTTAATAATGTTTTTTTATTTTTATTTAATAATGATTAAGGTTAGGTATTTAGCTGTTGTAAATATAGGTAGGCAAGTAACTTCCGTTTGAAAACATTCAAAGACTTCGCCTCCTTTACAAATTTAAGTAGTTTGTTGTATAACTGTGCTTCTTTATACGTTATATTATTTTTACCATAGTTTGTTCTTATAGGTGGCAATACAAGGTGACTAGCTCGGCGTGTTAGGTATTTGTTTGTTTGCTTCTTTATTAAAAACCTGAGTTGTGTGTGGATTAATTTATGTTTTATTTTATATATT